ATGATTTGCTACATTCTCTTTGCCAGTATCTTATGGAGGATTTTTGCATCTATGTTCATTAGGGAGATTGGCCCATAGTTGTCTTTTTGATTGGATCCTTCTCTGATTTTGGTATCAGGGTAATGCTTGTTTCATGGAATTACTTTGATAGTATTTTTTCCTTTTCAGTTTCATTAAAGAGTTTGAGGAGTAGTGACATTAGCTCTTCCCTAAACTTCTATAGAATTCAGCAGTGAATCTATCAGAACCTGGGCCTTTATTCTGTTGGTAGTTCTGTTATTACTTCTCTGATTTCATTGAGTGATACTCAGTTACTTAGAATTTTTATATCTTCTTGGTTCAGTTTTGGTAGGTTACATGCATCTAGGAATCTGTTGATTTCTTCTGAATTTTCTATCTTGTTAGAGTACAGGCTCTCAAAGTCGATACTGATCTTTTGGATTTCTTCAGGATCCATTGTGATTTCACCCTTTTTAATCCTAATTGCATGTATTTGGGTCTTTTCTTTGTTTCTTTTGATAAGGTTACCTGAGGGTTTGTCTATTTTATTTAATCTTCCAAAGAACCAACTCTTTGGCTCATTGATTCTTTGTATTGTTTTCTTAGTTTCAATTGCATTAATTTATGTTCTGATCTCTATAATTTCCTTCCTTGTATGAGCTCTAGGTTTAACTTGTTCTTCTTCTGGAAGCTTGAGGTTCAACATTAGATTATTTATTTGAGCCTGTTCTGGTATTCTGATATGGAAATTCACCACTATCAGTTTCCCTCCTAGGACTGTTTTCATTGGGTCCCATAAATTCCAGTATGAACCTGACATGGGGTTGAGTTGGGGTCTGCGTCCTTTAGCTTATAACACTCTCGAAATCTCTTGCCAGCCAGACCACGACTACCTGACTCTGGATGTTTCCTGTGATTGTCCCTCACTACCAATCATTACGGTAGTTAAACACTGGGAGTCCAGAGATGAGTCCTGGGCTCAGTTGCCCCTCCCTAAATGGCATCTGGCCATGCATGCTCTCTTGGTGACAAAGCAGTTGCTTGGACTGGAGTCAGGTTACTAGCTGTTGTAGTGCACAGCATTCACTGCTCAGTTCCACTGGTGCGTTTCTCCCTTGAGGCCTCTGAAGTGTCTCCATAGTTTTGATCTTCCTTTCAACGGCCACGAGCCAGATGACGGGAAAAAGTGCAGATTCCCCTTTCATTTTTTTTCTGTATCATGGTCTGTCTCTTCAGTTTCTCTGTAGGCTCCAATTTTTCATTCAGGTCCTTCCTTGGTCCCAGGGATCTCCCCTTTTTTTCTATCTCAAATTGTTATTTTTTAGTATTTTTAATTCCAAATCTTGGAGAGCTAGATATGTTGCTGCTTACTGCTCTGCCATCTTCCCGGATACCTGTTGAAACACTTTGAAGTACTTTGTTTTGCCATTTTAGTTTTTTGAGAGTTCATTGGCTTTATTCAATAAGAACTGATGTGTTCTTGTTACAAATGACAACATTTATGTTTCACCATCCTTTTATTGTTTCATTTCTAGTGTTGATTCTTATGGAATCAAAATAGGCATTTGTAATTTATGATGATGAATATCATAAAGAAGCTTAAAAAATTAATGGGAAACTTGCTGAAGTCCTGAAGTAGAGGCAAAAATTGGCTGGTGATTGTTTAGAAGTGTGATAAGTGGCTTTCACACCCATTTATCTCTTTGAATTCCAAGAACAGCCCTGTAAACCAGTTTTATACCACTGACTGAGAAAGTTAAAGCTCAGAGCAGTGAAATTGTTTGTTAAATAGGTAATTGTTAAATAGGTAATTAGAATTAGCTTGAGGTAGAAAAGTGGTTAATGGTTGAGCATGAAAATTAGTGATATTACTGTTGTTTATGTGCAGAAGATCCTGGGTTTGAGCCCCCAGCAACACACATGTGCATGCACAGAAAATGGAGTTGATTTTGTTTAAATATTGGAGAAATGTTCAGCTCTTAATTGGTATTATATAACATTTATTAAAATAATGCTATGGGTTAATAGAAATAGCAAAGAACCAAAGAATTAAAATGCAAGCTATGCAAAATCCCAACTAAAACCCTAATCTAATGTATTCATTCATTAGCTAACTAAAAGCCCAACAGACAAGATACCTAGTAAAATAAAGTGCTATAATACAATTGGCAAATTTTAATTTCAACTCTTTACTTGGATTGTCTTTTTTTTTTTCTTTTTTGGGGGGGAGGAGTGGTGGCGGTGCTGGGGATTGAACCCAGGGTCTTGTACTGATCTACATCCCTAGTTCTTTTTAAAAAACTTGTGACAGTGGGCCGAGGATTTAGCTCAGTGGTTCTGCCGCCTGTCCCACAAATGCAAGGACCTGAGTTCAATCCCCAGTACCAAAAAAAAAAAAAAATTTGCTACAGAAATTGCCCAGATTCGGCTTGAACTTGGCAATCTTCCTGCCTCAGGTTAACATTTGATTGTCCTTCTTTATTAGACTGTTTTGTGGTTGAAGCATGTTGGTCAGTGATACTTAGAACTGACCACATGATTTTTACTAAGATTATTGTTTTCTGAAGTAGATTACTGTGTAGTAAAACCTCCTATTCTGTGTCACTGTTCTCTATGAGGAAACTGAATTGACATTTAGCAGCCACCAGAGGGTGCTGTGAAATCAGTTAGCTTTTCTTTCCAGAAATTTTCTTTTCCTATTTTTAGGTATGCTACAACATAGAAAGAAACTAGAGCAATTAAAAGCCTATACATTTTATGACATCAGTAGATTTAGGCTGAGCTTTAACTCATTTCTCTGAAAATGATTGTAAGACCAAACTTTTGACAAGTGAATGTTAACTACAAGCTTAACTTCATTATTTTTAAAAGTCTCCTTTTAGCCTGGCTTGTGAGCTTGATATTTCTTCCCTTTGAAGCTTGTGTAGTTTGGATATTGATTTGATTATTGTTTTATTCAGTGGCTGCATTTCTAAAAAATTGGAAGAGCTGCATTATTGCCTTATTTTTCATTACTTAACTGCTGGCTTATATTATTGTTCTATACTTAATTGCATTTAAACCTGTAAAATAGAAGTCACGCATTTACTATATGAGTTTGCTATAATATTTAACTGGCACAAATATTGGCCAGTCATAAGCAATAAACATAACTATAACCAAAATGGCTGTGCATGTATTTTTAAAAATTAAATTGAATTAGTTGTGAAAATTTTTAAGTATTAAGTGTATTTCAATTTTTAAAATTTAGGGTGGTAATGTTAAAAAATTTTATTTTCTTTAACTGAAGGTTTTATCTGAAAGTTTTTCCTATTGTTTCATTATAAAGAAGTTTTTCTTGTTGAGGAGCTGTTTATTTATTTTCCAGTCCTGGGGATTGAACCCATAGTCTTCACTCTGTAAGCTGTATCTCCTGTCTTTTTATAAATTTTACTTTTATTTTATAACAGGATCTTGCTGAGTTTCTCAGTTGCCCAGGCTGGGCTGGAACTTATGATCTTCCTGCCTCAGTTTCCCAGAGTACTGTCACTACTCTTGTTTCAGCTACTGTCATCTCTCACTTGGACAATGGTGTGGCTGCCTAGTTGATATCTTTGTTTCCATTTATGATCTAGTATAATTCATCTTCCATATATCCAGGGTGATCTATTTAAAGCATTAGACTGTATCAGCCCATTGCTGTAGAAATCAGCAGTGTTACCTGTTACAGTAAAATCCAAACAGTTTAGAATTCACGCTTACTCTGGGAAGGGATGTTCACTTGTGTTATTTACCAGTTTTCCCAGAGGCTTAAAACAGTCTTGTATAAACTAAGCACTCTTTAAATCTGTTGAATGTAATAAATGAATCCGCTTAGAAACTGTTGAATATAGTAGAGTAGTGAAGAATTTGGATCCTGTAGTTTTAGAGACTTGGATATTCATCCTGTGATCTGTGTTATTTAGAAAAATTAGCATCTCTAAAATACAATTTGTTAATTATTAAAATGGGATGGGGCCAGGGATTTAGCTCAGTGGTTCCACCACCTGCCTCACAAGCGCAAGGTCCTGAGTTCAATCCCCAGTACCTAAATAAAGGACAAAAATTACACCTAATTTTTTTGCGGGGTGGTTAACTATGAAGTGGATTGTATGTACTTTCTATGGCTTTTGCAACAAACTACCAGAAATGTGGTGGCCTGAAACAAGAGAAATATGCTCTCTCACAGTTTTGGAGGCCAGAAGTCTGAAAGTAGTTTCACTGGGATCAATTCAAGGTATCGGGAGGGATGCACATCCTCTGAAGATTTATGGGAAGAATCTTCCTTCTCCTTTCTGTATTCTGGTGACTCCCAGTGTTGCCAGTCTCCCTCCATGATCACATTGTGTTCTCCTCTTTGGCTTGTAATCTTCCTCTAGCTCTCTCTTGAAAAGATACTTACTAACCTCATTCTAAAGTCCTTATCCACAATCATATCTACAAAGATCCTTTTTCTGTACAAGAGAATGTAGATTCTAGTGTTTGAGACTCATTATCTTCGGTTGCATTGTACAGCCTGCTACAGGCATGAATGTAAAGCACATGGCATAGTGCCTGGTGAAAAGGACTTGAACTTTCTGGATAGGGTGAAGAAAGATCTAAAATTTTCAGAAAGACTTAATCATGTGAGCTGGGATTACAAGAAAAAGGATTTAAAAATCAAGATGAATAAAGGGAAGTTAGGAATTAGACCATATTATTTTATTTAATTTAGTGGATAAATGGAATATGTAAATTGAAGGGGTTGTTTTATTGTTAGCTTTTTATTTTCCTGGTCAAGCTTGTGGAAGTGTTTATGTTTTCAGTGTTAAGGCTTATAGAGTAGATAATATATGTTGGGAAGGAGGTGATATGGTGGGATTTTAGAGCACATGACTACTGAAAATTGGATATTTATCTTCTTGGTTATCCACAGTGGTTTTACTTAGAGTAGCATAAAATCCTATACTGACATTTTAACTCTTTTCTCATTTTCCTAACAGGTTCTTTGGCATGGACACAAGTTCAGTGGGAACATTAGAATTGACTGATCAGACTCCTGTTTTATTAGGGAGTACGGCCATGGCAACTAGTCTCACGAATGTAGGAAATTCATTTAGTGGTCCACCTAACCCTTTAGCATCTAGATCTAATAAGTTTCAAAACTCACCAGTGGAAGACGATGATGACGTTGTTTTTATTGAACCTGTACAACCTCCCCCACCTTCTGCACCAGTGGTAACTGATCAAAGAACCATAACATTTACATCAAAAAACGAAGAACTGCAAGGAAATGATTCCAAAATTCTCCCGTCCTCAAAAGAATTGGCTTCTCAAAAGGGAAGTGTAAGTGAGACAATTGTCATTGATGACGAAGAGGACATGGAAACAAATCAAGGGCAAGACAAAAACTCCAATTTTGTTGAAAGGAGACCCCCTGAAACTAAAAACAGAACAAATGATGTGGATTTCTCCACTTCCAGTTTTTCAAGAAGTAAGGTAAATGCAGGAATGGGTAATAGTGGTATCACCACAGAACCAGACTCTGAAATTCAGATTGCTAATGTTACAACCTTAGAAACAGGTGTAAGCTCTGTGAATGATGGCCAATTAGAAAATACTGACGGGAGAGATATGAACTTAATGATTACACATGTAACATCACTGCAGAATACCAACTTGGGAGATGTCTCTAACGGACTGCAGTCAAGTAATTTTGGTGTTAATATACAAACATACACCCCATCTTTAACTTCACAGACCAAGACTGGAGTAGGACCTTTTAATCCTGGTAGAATGAATGTGGCAGGAGATGTATTTCAGAATGGAGAATCTGCAACTCATCATAATCCTGGTAAGCAATAAGTGATATTCTGATTTATGAAGATGAATTTAAACTTCTGGCTGATTTTTTTGTTGTACCAATTGGTGTTACCTTGTTTAGTTTTGTCATGTGACATATGTTAATTCTGTGGACTTTTAAGGGGGGGATTATCAGAAAATCACAGAATGATTTATGTTTTAGTATGTGTGCTACTGAAGCAAGCACAGTGATTTATGTTTAAAGGATTAAAAGTAATCTTTACATTTGGCATCTTGTCATGCATTACTTTTTGCTGGGTTTTTTTCTTTTCTTTTTCTTTCTTTTTTTGAGTCAGGGTCTTGCTATGTAGTTCAGGATGGCCTTGAACTCTTGCAATCCTCCCTTAGTCTCCCAAATTCTGGGATTATAGGCATGAGCCACCAGGCCTGGCAAAGTGAGCATCCTTTATAAAAATTTTTAACCTAGCTAAAAGGCAGCTCTGTATAGTATTTTGTTTTCTGGATTTTTGTTTGTTTTTTGATTCAGTTAATGTTGCACTGTATTTTCTCATATCATTGCCAATATGCAGGTTTTAATGGTTGCCCAGTGAGTATTGATGTTCTATTTCTATATTTGGCTTTTACATTATTTCCCATATTTTGTAACTGTGGGTAAAAAATGAACATCTTTGTTCATATTTCTGTTTCCTTAGATTATATTGCTAGAGATGAGGTTATTGGGCCAGAAGATATGATTATTTCTCATACCCCGAATGATTTTTGATTTAAAAATATGTACCTGGTGTACAGTTTTAAAAGAAACTATTCAAATTTGACATTTCTTGTTCCTCCTAAGAACTCTTTTCCCTTGCGTGTGTGGGTCAGTATGGGTGTGAGCTTATATGAGCATTTTTAATTTATGGAAATTATTGCAATATTGGCTTTCTCAAAAGCTCTTACCAATTTATGCTGCCACCAGCTATATGTGAGAGTGATTTTCTTTGTAACTTTCCAGTTACTAGTTACGTAAAAGTTTTAAAAATAATAGTGCTCAAATTAGTTTTAAAATATAAAACATAGTGTACAGTTTAGCTATCTCTCCCCTCCTACTTTTCCTTTAAATACCTAAAAATAGATCTTAAACTTTTGTCCATATCAACTGTATGTGTATGAAATTTAATTCTCTACTTGGCTCAGCTTTAGCTTTTCCTATTTAAATACTCTTCTTAAAAATATTCTTGTGCATATGTCTTGGTATACTGATTTCTTTAGGACTATTTCTGGATCAGAGGGACCAAAGAATTGTGTTCCTATGCAGTCAAATACTTAACCTAAGGGAATGTAACACACTTATAAGAAAAATATAAGCAAACAGGTACTCCTATGTTTATATTTATGAATTAACTCTTGCATTTATAAACTTTTTTATTTGTAATAGAGAATAATAGAGTAAGAGTTATAAAACCGTGGCTATTTATACTGGTTCTTGGACTAATTGTGACTTGGACAGATTTAATTGCTATCTCTTTATGTGCCTATATAAAATTGAGGGTTTAGACAAAATGATTAGGTCTTTCCTACTTCTAAAATATTTTTTAGTGTTGGAGGTGGTGAAAATATGAAAGTAAGGGAAATTTAAGAGATGAAAATAGATAAAGAGAACCATTGTGTTTTTTACGCAGGACATTAAAGCTAAACTGACAGACGAAAAATACTATTTTTCCTAAATTCAGACAGTAGATGCCCTTAAGTATGTATTCAGAAAATAACCTTACAAAATTGAAAACCTTTAGGGACCAATATTTGTGTTGCAGAAAGCTAATTTTCTAGCATACTTAAGCTTAAGCATATTTTTTTTCACTATTTACTACTGTTTATTGAATCATTTTGACAAGTATGAGGCTATAAATTATGTATGAAAAACTGACCTGAAGATCCCATTGCTTAAATATATGTATTACACATGATTGCAAAATCCAGGCATCCTAGTAAATTCATTAAATCAAGAAAGTTTTGACTGAAGGTCAAAAAAATTTTTGACCGCAGGCCCTTGTTTTCTTTGAGATTAATTCCTGGTTCTTAGAGTGATTTGCTTGCTGTCTTGTTGACTATTTTTACGTATTTGGTAAATACTGGTCTTTTACTGTAATAGCAAGAAAAAAGGGTTCCAGAATACACTGTTTACTCTGTATGTAAAGTTTTGTTCTTTGCGTTTTGTTTTTGGAGGGGTGTTATAGAGTCAGGTAGAATCTGAACAGCAATGTGTGCAGTCCTTTGAAACTGCTATTAGGTTGATGAAACAAGGCAAAGTCACAAGATTGCCCTCCTTGATGTCTTTGTGGTAAAGAAGTTTTCCCAGACTCTGGTCATATTGCACTGTATTTCCTGTGGAAGGGCAGCTTTTATGTATGGAAGTTCAAAATCTAGGAGAAAGTATAAAGACCAGGAAGGGACAAGAAAAGAGAGTGGAAGTAGAAGGGTAAAATGGAAACAGAGCTTTCGTGTGTAGGGAGAGGAGAGGAGGCTGGGGGAGGAAGTAACGGGAAAGAGAGGAGGCGGGCTGTGCCCTGTGCAGGTGCAGGCCCCGTGGTGAGGGCTAGCGTTGTGTCCATCCAAGATGTACCAAAGAATGTTCTGCTTCAGAAACAATTAGAAAGTCAGAAATTCTGAGAAATTTTGTTGAAATTAGAAATGGTGACCATAGAAATTTCAAAGTGAAGATAGATTATGGAATTGATTGTGTCACAATGAGCCTGTGAATCGGGACCTAGTGTAACAGCCTGGAGACTTCCTAACAAGCACTAGAAAAGTTTAGCATGAAAGAGAAAAGATGAAGAATTGTACTTTAGGGTTGATCGCTAGATATACCGCTGGGCTGTGATGTATTTAATCTTTGCAATCGTAGAGTCATTCAGGATTGGACTGGTCATCATGTTGGTTATGACACCATCATTTCTGTGTGATACTGTGTTTTGATTTCTATGAGATTATGTCTCTACTGAGAGGTTATTGAACTACACATATTTAGAAAAGCTGCATTTATGAGAACATTTGGAAGTAATGATATATAAACCTTATTAGACCTGTGTTACATTTGTTAAAGGTTCTGTTTTGTCAAGATGTTATTATACTTTTATTTGATGTTTCGTGCTTAACATAATATTTTCTAAATACAAGAGTATTCACTGCTTAATGAGTGATTTTTTTTTTAGTGCTTCTATGCTATTCACTATGATTTATACATGTATCATCTCATTTAACATTTACCATTCATATGAAGTTGGTATTGTTTCCTCTTAAGAATGAGGCACACAGTTAAAGCAGCATTCCAGTCTTACACACAACGGAAGCTGGAATATGAACCAACCTACCTACCTTCTTTTCTTCCTTCCTTCCTCCTTCCCTCATTTCTTTTTATCTTTTCCTCAATTTCTTGCTTCTTTCCCTTTTTTTTTGGTACCAGGAATGGAACTCGACCTCATGCTTTCCAGGCAGGTGCAGTGCCACTGAGCTGAATACACAGCCCTCTCTTTTTCTTTTGAGACAGGGCCTCAAAAGGGTCTCATTATATAGCTTAGGCTGACCTCCATTTCCTGCCTCAGTCTTCCGAGTATTGGGATCACAGGTGTGCACTACTATATTCAACTTGCATTTTTTAAATTGACAAGTAAAATGGAGGTAATTAACAAACGCAAGCCAGGGATTTAGCTCATTGTTTCCGCCGCCTACCTTGCCAAGCGCAAGGTTCTGAGTTTGATCCCTGGTACCAAAAAACAAAAAAAGAAACAAATGCATTACTTCCCATTTTGTTGTGAGAACACTTAAAATGTACTCTTAGAAAATTTTAAGAATACAATACATTGTCAATAAGAGCCAGACACTCTTACCCTAAACATCTGAACATCTTAAACTTATTAAAGACAGAAAGACAAATGATTTCTGTGATGTAGATGTCAATGTGTATAAACATCTATTTGATTATGCTCCCTGTGCATTTTGTTTTTCAGATTCTTGGATCTCCCAGTCAGCATCATTTCCCCGTAATCAGAAACAGCCAGGGGTGGATTCTGTATCACCAGTGGCCTCACTTCCTAAACAGATTTTCCAGCCTTCTGCCCAACAGCAACCTACTAAACCAGTTAAAGTCACTTGTGCAAACTGCAAAAAACCTTTACAGAAAGGACAGACAGCTTACCAACGAAAAGGATCAGCTCATCTCTTTTGTTCTACCACCTGCCTTTCTTCCTTCTCTCACAAGCCTGCTCCAAAGAAACTCTGTGTTATGTGTAAAAAGTAAGATTTACTTTTTGGTGTAATTCCATATGGTTGAATATTGGTGGTAAAAATTTTAGTAAGTCTTTTATGTGAATTATTTTGTTGGTAGTATAAAATTTCAGTACATCTTACAGGTGAATAACTATAAATTTTGACGCATAATTCAAATTTATAGTGGCTTTGGCAATTACTCTGTCAAGTCCAAGTGACTTATAGATAGGGCTTCTTATTTGGTAGGCTTTAGGGTTGATGATAGGCCCTTCTGATAAAATTTTGTAATCTCTGACTTCTTGAATTTATAAAAATACATGAATATTTACATTATTTAATCTATTTGTTTTGTTTATTTTTTTGATGCTGGGACTTGAACACAGAGCCTTGCACAGGCATGGTAAATGCTATACCGTTTAGTATATTATTATCAGAATTTAGCTCTTCTTGCCAGATAAAAATGGTATGCAGTTTATAGGAGACTAATTCTGTATTAAAATAGGTCAAATGGTATACTATCTTTAGATTGAGATTATTTTAATTTATTAATTCTTGTGACAGGGTCGCGCTATGTAGTTCAAGTTGGCCTTGAATGTACTATGTAGCATAGGCTGGCCTCGAATTCGAAGTGATCCTTATGCCTCAGCCTCCCAAGTGCTGGGATTACAGGCATGTGCAAGCCAGCAAGACCAAGATTATTTCATTTGGCAAGTCTTTGGGTTTTTATGTGTTTGTTTTGAGCATTAAGTCATTGGACATAGTTTCATAACTCAGGTACCAGGTTTTTGCTAGGTTGGTTGGAAAGACAGGATCCTCTATTATGCCCTTTTTAATATATGGCTTCACTATTTAAAAGTAAATGGAATATGGTATATTATAAGCAAGGTCAAACCAGATGGACTTTCTGTACCATCTCTTGGAGCAGCCCAAATGTGTAAAGCTATTTTTAGATCTTAGAACTCTGGAAAGGGCTTAGTACTCTCAAGATCTTTAATAATTGAAATATAGAAACAATTATTTTACAGTTTTTAGGTTGCTTTACAGTAGTAGACTTAAATACTTATTTCTCTGGTGTGAGAAATTGAAAGTGTAAATGAAGATCAAAGTGTGTAATTGAAAATATGAAATAGGAAGGAAGGGGAAGGGAAAGAGGAAGGGGTAGGGGAAAGGAAAGAAGGGAAAGGAAAAAAATACGAGAAAAGGCAAAAACAGAAACAGTCTTTGTAAATAGGGAAGGGTGGAAGGCTTGAAAGGGAGGGCTAGGGGAATGGGGAAAAAAATAAGAACCAAGATGTATCATGTAAAGGTACAAATACCTGATGATCAGTGTCATCATATTGTATACCTAAAATGTACCAATAAACTTAATAAAAAAAATACTTAGAGGGTCTTGAAATTTAGAATTGCCTTCAAAGGTCATTGATAATATTATTTAATAACATTCCTAATTGTGGTTGAGAGGTGTGTAGAATGCTTGGGGTTGGGACATTGAAGCAGAAAAGATTTCAGTTACACTCTCTTGGATGTATGGCATGGTACTGTGACCTAGCTGTCTCATGCTTTTTACTGACCTGAGGAAGGGAATTGAATAGGTACTATAAATTTAAACACCAATAAATTAGCCCTTGGTATTAACTCCTTGTAATTAATAACCACTTTATTTTAGTGTTTAGAGTGAAAGTTTTGTTATTGAATTTGAAGATAAATTGGATAGTTGCAAGGATTTCACAGTTTCAAGTATTTTTACTTTTCAGTCTTTATTGGTAAGAGTTTCTAAATAGTAAAAGTGATTTCCCAGATCCAAAAATGGTGTTTGATTTCTTTGACTCCATCTATGAAAATGAAAAATGTCAGTTGTTACTTTTATTTATATTTGATTTCTTTTAAAGTGGAATTTTACTTTTAATCATATCTCTTGTTTTTCAGAGATATAACTACAATGAAAGGAACCATTGTTGCGCAAGTGGATTCTAGTGAGTCCTTCCAGGAATTCTGTAGTACATCTTGTTTGTCTCTCTATGAAGACAAGCAAAATCCTAGTAAAGGAGCTCTAAATAAATCAAGATGTACAATTTGTGGTAAACTAACAGAGGTTTGTATTTTTTATACTGTATCATTTAGCCCTAACTAGAACTCTTTTAAACTTTAATAGCTATTATATGCTTTTTATCAATGTATGTTTCCTTAAAAGTGATGATAATATCAAATGAAAATTGTCTTATAAATATCATACTTTGTGAGCTTGTTTTCCCATAGGCAACTAACATAGGAAAAATTGTTAATTGCCTGTTTTTTTCCTGAGGTTGAGAGTAGTCACAGACAGTATTTGTAGCACTGTGGTTGATTTTTTAAAAAATCTAATAATGTGTTTAAACAAATAGGCAACCAGACTATATAAAAAGGACAAATACTATTGCTAGGAAGTAGAATGGAGGGAAAATTTTGTTAGGTTCACATCATTAGTTACAATATTAAGTTAAAAGAAACGTGCATACATGTTTCATTTGAAGTATTTATAATATTGGTTCTTCCTCCATTTCTAGTGCAGTATAATTTGTCATTCCTTTGGGAATTATGTAAATATTTTTAGTATGTTTATAAAGTTCAATACTAGCACTATCTAAACTTGGTTATTTCCTGTCATTTTTGTATATCTGGAGAAGTTTATAATGATGTCATTTGTGGGTGTTGTGTGAAAACAGTTCAAAGAATTATGAAATACATTTTGTTTTTCCTTTTCTCCAGACAAGCTGTGTTTCTTATGGATCACTTATTTAGCTATATGAAGACAGATCTGTTTTTTAAAATTCTGTCTATTGTTTTTCTTTTAGATTCGCCATGAAGTTAGCTTTAAAAATATGACTCATAAGCTGTGCAGCGACCACTGCTTTAATAGATATAGAATGGCCAATGGTCTAATAATGAATTGCTGTGAACAATGTGGAGAGTATTTGCCTAGTAAAGGTGCTGGAAATAACGTTCTGGTGATTGATGGTCAGCAAAAAAGATTTTGCTGTCAGAGTTGTGTCAGTGAATACAAACAGGTAATTCATGTACTAATAAAAACTGTACATTCTTTTGAATGTGTTTGAAAGTGCTGTAGTACTTTTCCACTAACAGCATTTATTAACCAGATTTATCTTGGAATCTCATTTAATTCCATTATTGCCCTCATGTCATGAAGAGTGCTTACTTCGAATGAATAGAGAAAAATACACACTTATATATAAATTATTGGAAATAAACTTAGGATTTTACATATAACAGTAAAATATTAGTAGTATCATTCCTTTTCTGAATTTTCTTCCCTTTTTTGGAGGGGGGCTACAAATATTTTTATATACAAAAAATTGTTATCATTTTTCAAACTGTTAAAGTTTATCTTGGAAATGATATCTTGTTTATATTTAAATTTTAAAGCTTTTTTATATATATATTGGAGATTGAACCCAGAGCTTTGCACTGAGCTATATTCCCCATCTCTTTTTTATTAATTTTGAGTACATTCTTGCTGAGTCACTAAGTTGCCCATCCTGGGCTCAGACTTGGAATCCTACTCCCTCAGCCTTTCAGAGAGCTGGAATTAATAGGTATGCACCGCCACGCCCAGAAATTCTTTTTGATTTAAGGAAATACTTAGTAATTCATTGTTAATTTCTCAGTTTCTTAAACAAAAGGCTGCTTGTTGTATGTATTGTTCTGCAACTTCTATTTTTCCATTTCATAGTGTATCTTGGAGATCATTCGACAGACCTTCCTCATTTTTTTAATAGCAGCATATTCAAATTTATAGTAATTTTAAAAATCAGACTATGCAAAGTTATAGGTAATTTAATCATATTTATATTAGTCTTCTGTGGATGCCATAGCAAAATACCACAGACTGGGTGACTTAAATATAGTAATTTTGTTCTCCAGTTTTTCAGTTGAAATTCCAATGTCAGTGTGCCATCAAGATTGGTGTCTTGTGAAGTCTCTTCCCAGGTTACAGATACCTTCTTTTGTCTTATGTGGCCTTTCTTCTATGCTTGGAGGGAGAGGATTCTGATATCTCTTATAAAAGACAACAGTTTTGTTGGATTTGAACTCCACTCTGATGACAATTTAAGTTTAAATACCTCTCTAAAGAAGTACAGTTACAGTGGAGGTTAGGGCTTCAAGATAAGAATAACACATTTTAATCCTTAATAATATAAGAAACATAGAACTCAGCACTTCCTGCTAATTTTATTACTCCTCTATATCTCCACAGAGGGTCAAACCCAACCACTGAGGTACATCTTTAGCCCTTTTTATATTTTATTTTGAGACAGGATTTTGCTAAATTACCCAGGCAGGAGTTGAATTTTGTGATCCTCCTGCCTCAGCCTATCTTAGGGCCAAGGTTACAGACATGTACCACTGAGCCTGGCTTTATTAGATTTTAGTGTTATCTGTGTTGTTAAGGTTATTTACATTCATTATATTTGTATAGTGGAATTACTGTATATAATGGTGTTCTTCTGGGTATCTCCTCCCAATTCCATGATCAGTTCCATATTCATAGCCTGAATTAGCCATAGTGGGAGTGTTTCTATGGTGAATCATTGTGCTTTTTCTTGATGGCATTTGGCTGTTTTCAATCTTTTGCTATTACGAATAGTGGATAATGAATAATTTGACATTTGTTCTACTCTGTATCTGGAGAGGTATGGTTAGGTTAGAGTCAGAAGTAAAACTACTTAGCTAATGATAAATGCATATGTTAGTTTGTTAGATATTATTAAATTACTTTCTGTTAGAGTTGTACCAGTTTGCATTCCTTTTGTTAATATATAAATAAGTGCCTATTCTTCCATAGCCTCACCAACAGAATATTAACATTCTATTCTGATTGGTGAAAATAACATCCTCACTGTGGTTTTAATTTGCATTTTTTAAATTAGGAATGATAATGAACCGTTTTTTATGTTTCAGAGTTGACTTTTCTGTGAACTGTTTGTATATTTTGCCCACTTTTCTTTATTTATTTTTTTAATTTTAGTGCCATATTGGTGATCAAACTCAGGGCCTCAAGCATGCTAGGCAACCACTTCACCACTGAGCTTCATCTCCAGTTTTTGCCTACCTTTCTATTTGAGTCTTGTTCTCATTTTTTCTATTAAATTTAACATTTATTTAATGTGCGAAGAAAGTAATTTGTTAATGAAACAATTTACTCACTATCACTATGTTCTAGAGACTGCTAATTGCTGGGAATAATATAGTGAAATGTAAAATAGACATAGTTTCTGCATTTATAGCATTTATGTTGGGGGTGGCATACTTCCAACTCATGTATATAAGAAAGGCTATATAAGATGAAACAGACCAAACTATAATTTCCAAGGCCAATAGTACCATTTCATATTGCATGTCTGATCTTCTGATACCTAGAAGGTTTATTAGCAATGCTAACTTTGGACTTAATGGACATAGATTAAAATTACGGCTTCACTAGTTTTTATCTGTGTACTTTGAAAATTACTTAACTTTCCCTTGCCTTGCCTCCTATTTTCATCTGGAAAGTTTGGAAAATACTAATCTTATGCCATAGTGTTATAAAGATCAAATCTTTGCTTTTCATCTTTTATTTCAAAAACCCAGTTCAAGAAACTGAAACATTAACTTTTCCATCAGCTCCTTTATTCTTTTTCCTTGTTATCCCTTTTCATCTTATCAAAGGTAAGAATTCTTGGTCTTCTGACATCATAGTTTGAATTGCTTATAAACTTTATGTAAATGGTATTAATATGTAATGAAGTTGATCCTTGTTATTATATGTAACTGATTGTTCCTGAAAGTTTTGCCAGTAGTGGTTTTTTATTTCCAGTCATGTAAACTTTTAAATTTTAATAGTCAAACTTAAAGAGTTTTATTGCTTCTGGATATTGTTTCATATGCTTTCCCCTCTTCTGGGTTTTAAAGGAGTACTTTTCACATTTTCTTCTAATATTTCTAAGTCTTCATTTTATTATTTAAATCTTTAATCCATATGTAATTTATGGTGGTATATAGTTATGGATCAAATTTTAACCATTTCCAAATGACCTGTTTTGAAAATCCTAAATTAGAAATTATTTAACCCCTTGCATAGGGATTTGAGATACTGCATATATTGTTTCATATGACTCTTAGTGCTTTGTCACTACTGCATATTCTGTGTTCTTTCCACAACTTTGATGCTGAGTGTGTGTTTTTTTGTTGTTTGTTTTTTGGGGTTTTTTGTGGTGTTGGTACCTTATGCGTGCCAGGCAAGCACTCCTACCATGACATATACCCATAGACTCCCCTCTCTGTGATGACACCCCCTCCGCCCCCAATACTGAGGATTGAACCCAGGGAGCACTGAGCCACGTCCCCAACCTTTTTTATTTTATTTTTTTAAGTACCGGGGATCGAACTCAGGACCTTGCATTTGCAAAGTAGGCGGAGGAACCACTGAGCTAAATCCCCAGCTCCCCAACCCTTTTCACAAATTTTTTTGAGACAAAGAATTGCCAGGTTCCTCAGACTGGCCTCAAAGTTGTAATCCACCTACCTTAGCCTCCCAAATATCTGGGATTGCACACATGTACCACAGGGTCTGGCCTTTATTAATAATAGACATTTTATAGCGTCTTGTGGTATGTGATAGAATAATAATAAATAGAATATACTTCATTTCGAGGTTTTACTAGCAATTATTTTCATTTTCCATATAGAATTTAGAAATAATGTCTAGCTATACCATACCAGCAGCATTGGCACCCATCTTTATGATGAAATTCTGCTAATGAACCGAGTATGCCATTCCATCTGTGAAATCACCTTTCTTATTTACTCAAATATTTTATCTTTTTGTTGCTTTAATGAGTTCTTCCCTTATTTTGTGTTTGTGTTCATTTTCAGTGGTGTTTCTCTTATGTAATGGAATCATTATTAGTTCATCCTCTTAGATTTTCTGGCTTTTTCTTATCGCCTGCAAATAGATAAAGTTTAAATTTTCCTTTCTAGTTTTCATTTCCATTATTGCTTTTAATTGCTTGATGGTGTTTCTTTTTTTTTTTTTTTTTTATGGTATTTCTTGAAAATCCCAATACAGTTTAAAATAGTACAGAGACCAGGTGTCTTTTTCTTGTTTCAGGTAGAAACAAGAAAACTTTTTAGTGTTACCTCTGGCTTTAAGATTGAAGTATATCTATTTCATTACAATTAAAGTATCCATTAATTTTTATTAAAGTATTTTATCAGAAACGGGAGCTGAGTTTTGAAAGTATTTTTAGTATCTGTGGAGAAGATTAGATGAATTCTTTTCCTCATTACATCTGGTAGTGTGTGAATCATATTAATGATTGCCTTAGTTACTTTTCTTGTTGCTTGGACAAAATACCCGACACCTAGAGATAAGGGAGGAAAGGGTTTATTTGGCTTAACAGTTTGTAGAGGTTTCATTCCACAATCGTCTGGCTCCAAGGCAAGTGGCACTTGGCAGAGTGGCAACAGTTCATGGCAGCAGAAGACAGCAAAAGCAAACAAGCAAGGGAACTTAACAGTGTCTTTCTGCCCCTTTTATCTTATCCAGACTACTTAAGGCGGGTAACACACAGAATCTAACATTGTAGCATGAATCAGTCCCGTCCTCTAGATTCAGCAACCTCTGACTGCATGAGGCTTTGGGGGGACATCTAATTTTAGTATATAGAAGTGAGCACTCAGGGGAACATCTAGACACAAGCCATAACAGTGATTTCCTAATCTTTAATTACTAGAATAAACCTTACCAGATTATCATTTTTAAAAAATGTGCATATTCTCATTGTTAATTGATACTCATAAGTGAAACTCATCCACAGTTTCCTTCTTTGGTGCATTCTTTAAGAATGTTACATTTGTTTTATAAAAATGCTTGAGAGACTCTATCCCTATGTGAACAGTGAAAATGAAATAATTTAAATATTCATCCCAAAAATCTGAAAAAGAAAACAAAAAACTAAAAAGAGAAAAGATGTGTGAAACTAAAAAGAGAAATGATGTGTGATATAAA